TAGGGTTTAGGGATTTGTTGAGGGTTTTTGCAGAATCATACCTCGCTGGCTTGTTTTGAGAATTGTGGCTTTCTTACACCCTACAGCGGCTTCGGGCACACATGCCCCAAACTACTCCGAAGGACAGGGGCTTGAAGGGACCTGGTGCTTAGGGTTTAGGGTAGTATAGTATAGTACATCTTAGTCAATTATATAGAGTATCATGGCATCTTGTCGTATATTGTTGTGTATTATAGGCTGCGAAAATAACATACTACCTTCGATGTCTTCGAAACCTCGACACGCGGCTAGGACACATGATTTGCCACATGAAACATTACATACGACCCTTGGTTTTGACAAGCGCTTCAAAACGAGACGAACTACGAGTGCACTGCTGCCCTTGCTGCTTGGAAACCAATGGCAGACACAGGTCAGGATGTCAAGCCAACCCGCCTGGTTTCTCCTGACTCACACCTCGGCCGTCAAGAGATAGCGAACGAGGCTTGACTTGCTAACATGTAATAACTATGCCACACGTGGCGGATGCTGCCTTTCTGAGACGAATCAGCTCAACTTGCGATCCCGAGTTGCGCCCTTCATGAAATCAAATCTGCGTGCACGAACGATACACCGACATTGACAGCCCCATCCGAGGATCATATCAACCCCAAGTGTGTCTTTCAGGTCTACAGTTGCTCCACGGGCTCAACCCTACAAAATACTTACTATGCTAAAAATCCACATCCCCCAAACCCAGTACCTCTTAGCAGTTTCATTGCGAGCAATCGTATGGACCCTTCCTACGACTAAACCTTAAACCTTAAAACCCCTAAACCCCAAGCCCTAAAACCTAAACCTCAAAATCTTAAACCCCAGTAACCCTCACCGAAAAAAACTCTCGGCGTCCAGCTTTGTCCCAGTAAAAGAGAGTTAAGCACAATGCACGAACCCAAATTTGAGCAGCAATGTCCTGTACTGTGCTGAAATCTGTAATACTTGCATCATGCCGTATATCATTCTGTTAGACTGTATCACATGACCGTGTACTCTGTTATTGGAAAGCGTACTCTATTCTATGCTATTGCGTTCTATTCGTTTTTCTTTTCTGTTCGAACATATCATCTAGGTCGATCATGTCATATCGTTTTATCCCTATAATAATGGATCATTTAGGTCTAGCATGTTCTACTGTATTATGGTACACTCAGTCATGGTTATATTGCCTTGTACTAAACCGGCATTATTGAATACCATGATCTTTTTTGCTTTGCGCGAATGAAACTGCATTGCAGTACATCTTAGCGCATGGCGGTGTATATCACTGTCAAGTACTGCCATGTCTACAATGCGAATATATATCTTCATATTACCTGGTGTTGTATTCGCAAATACGGTGACATATCGCAATCCTTCTAGTTCAAGACTGGTTTGTATTGTACTATGCTATAGCGTGTTATGTTGCTATGCCGTGTGATGTTATGTGATGCTCTGCTATATTGTGTTATGCTTTGTTATGGTATGTTACGTTGCGATGTTGCTGTATGTCGTATTACGTAATGTACATACGTTTGTACTTGCGCTTCGTCTCAGATTGAGTCATCAGGCTTCGTGATAGTAGATTCTGCAACACTGTAGAATGTTAGGCGATGGTATGCTGTGTGCAAACTTATACCATTCGTATTTTATCGCCAGCAATTAGCGTTATAATCTGCTATGTTGCATGATAAAAGACACATAGTAATTGTTGTACTAGATTGAATATACGGTGAACCAAGACGACTTTCAACTATTCCATTTGGTAACGCCGACAGTTTGTATAGTACGGCTGGTACACGAACATCTCTGTCGTCCTGAACTCCTGTGTCCTATGCATCTTCTGCCCATTACAACAAAATGCAAGATTGGATTTTCAAAAGGCAGTGCAGCATAACATGAATTATTCACTAAAACATAAGCTAATCTAACCAAACCAAAGCTAATAATATCGCAGAACATAGTACAGTATTCTACTAGCTTGCACTATATGTTTCATATGTTAGTATAATTTCATTCGCTATAATATTGGACTGCTCGCAATGTCCGAAGCTACGGAGGCCGAGCTCCAGACAAAAAATGTCGCCAGCCCCCAGGCAGTGCAAAGAGCGACCGCCATCGACATTGGGCTCGGACCTCGTGCGGAAGGTACGGTCCGGGGTCCAAGAAGAGCTGAGCATCCCGCTCGAGCCTGATGCCAGGGAGCAAGCATGTAGGGTCGCAACCCAGGATTTCGGGTGTAGAGTGGAGTCTAAAGTCTAGACAGGACTTTACCAGGAACCGGTTTAAGCTTGATGTTCCTGCTTGTTTGTGGTGCGGAATCCGGCCAAGCTCCATCGACATGCAAAGCCGCGAACACTCTGAGGGGCCGTCCGGATGTCCAAGTGGCGGCCATCTTGTGGACAGTATCGCCACAAAGAGGCCTCGCGAGTGCACAGAGTGGTCATCATCATAGATCTTGAGGTCTGCTGCAAGGTGCTATGAACACGGTTGTACCGTGCATGCACAACCCCAAGATGCATTGTCCAGTGAAGCTAGTCAGCTAGTTCAAGTTTAAGCGACTTAGGGACTTATGTAAACTAACTACAAGCGAATTTAAGTGGTGCAGTCATAAACAATGCAATTCTGATTACGAGGGTACCTTAACCTAAGCCTACCCACAGCACTGGTAGCAAGGGCAGCAGCAGCAGGACCACCACATCATCAGCAATAGAACCAGCAGCAGCACCAGCAACAGCACCACCACCCCACCACCACAAACAACACACACCCGCAGAATTACCCCCCACCACTACCGCCACCACCACCACCACCACCACTACAACCATCACCACCAGCACCATCGCCTGCCCCACCACTGCCACCGCCCATCACGACAACGACAGCCATCGCAGTCATAATCATCATAAGTCTCATCCTCTTGATTCTCTTGACCCTCATCGTCATTGTCCTGGTCATCGTCCTCCTCGCAACAATTCAATAGCATCATTGCCATCACCATCATCACCGTCATCACCATGGCCTTACTGTTATTCATCATTATCGCGTGATGCCGTGATGCCGTCATCATGGTCATCATCGCAGGTTGCCTGTTGCCATGGTCGTGGCCTTCCCACTGGGAGCAACACTGCAACGAGTGTTGCTTCTCAAGCAACATCACCTGCTTGCACATTTTGGTTTATCAAGGATGACCACGCGCATCAGCATAATTTGCAGGAGGGTGTAGTTGCTAGTCTTCATCGTGTGCGAGTGCTACAGCACCACTATTTAACCGTAAATACTCCCAAAACATTAAGCCCGCAGTTTTGGCCAGATCTGTTGCATCGTCTCGCATCGTGCACATCCGCGCATAGCCATACCGTCAGCGCTTGCTGGCCTGCTTAAGCTGCTGCTTCTCTTGCTGCCAGCGCCAGGCCACTGCTTTCTTCCAGGCCTTCTCCACCCCCTTGGTTGATAAATCATCGGGGGTGAACCTCACGCATGTTCGCTTCCTATCTTCGGACTTGTAGAACCGGGCACTCCAGCCTCCCCGATGCCACGTGATCCCCTTCTGCGTCCCCAGCGGTTCAAAGTAGGAGGCTGCTGCAGAGACCAGCTTGCGCTCCGTTCGCAGCCCCAACTCTTTGGCCAGTTTGCGGGCCTTGGCCTCGGCTTCCCGCTGGACCTTGAAAGTGCCCCCATAAACAGTTTTCTGGCTGGAGGGGTTGTAAAAGTGCACTTGCCAAGAACAAGAGGACCTCTTGTTCTTGCGGAAATAAACGCCCTTCACGGCGGAGAGGACAACTTTCGACCCCATGGGTTTCTCCTTCGACTTCTTGGCCAGCTCCTGGGCTTTGGTTCTCGGAGTGACCGGCTTCCGCTTGAGCTTCTGGGCCTCGGCTTTCCCGCTGACCTTGGTTGTGCTCCCATGAGCTCTCTTCTTGGTGGCTGTGTCCCTGGGCTGCGCCTGCCGGTTTCCAGCCCTTTGCCTTTTAGGAGCCGGGCCGCCCGGTCTCGGCTCGACGGCCTCTGAATGTTTCTCGCCGGGCTCCGTGGAGCCCTCGTGGAACTGGGCAGCGGAGCCTGAGCTCGGCGAGAGCTTCAGCATCCCGTCCTCCGCGAGTTCATAGCCACCGCCCGCGCGAACTCGCGGCAGATCACGTATCCAGGGGCGCATCTGCAAATCACATCCAACATCGAGCCGTGGTTCAGATCCGGAATCCTCGAAAAAGCCATGCTGCGGGTTCTCGCGGAAGAACTCATACAACTCAAGCAACTCCTGTATGCTGAGGAGTTGCACACACGGCGTCGGCTCGTGCTTCTTGCAGCCTTGCCAGAGAATAGCTTCCAACCCCAGATAGGGACACGCTGGACAACAGGGTTTCGTGGGCGCCCACGTCTCGCCAGAGGATTGAAATCTAAGGCATTGCTCGCGCCACTGTGCCAGTCGCGACTGGAAAGATCGAAGTGAGATGTCCGGGCTCTTCTGGCTGCACAACCTGTTGGCATTTCCTATCTGCTCAGCCCACTCATCCGGCTCCTCTTTGGCCATGGCGAGTGCGCAAAGCCACGAACGTTGTCAACATCCAACGCCTCAATAGAAACATCTTTGGAATGCAACTATCCTTTGGGGTACAAGTCCTTCTTGGAATCAGCACACGTAGACCCTTGCATCTAAGCCATTTCTTCTAAAAGCCCAAACCCCCAAACATGCATCTCATGACCTGAGCCACACGACAAGCAATCTGATGGAGCTGCTTGGGGGAATGGAGTTTCTCGTTAGGGCTTCTCGTGCGGCTGGTGTTGGCCATCTGCAACATAGGACGACTCCAGCTGAAAACATCGCACGCGGCATGCGAGGCTTTTGGCGGCACAAAGCAAATTCGGCGCAGCCGCCTTGCGAGGTGCACCTCCCCATCCGTAGCCTCCGAACCTCAGCGTGCGGTTGATGGAACCTTGTACAGACCTCCGTCTGTCTCCATGCTGCTAAATCCAAGAGTACAGCACAAGAGTAGCATCACAATCCGCGATTTAGTTACTACTACTATCTTTGAGAATCACCGCTGAAGATGATTACTGGTCGTACTTGCTGTTACCACTCGTAAGATCATTGTGAGTACAGCTACGGCTGCAGAAGATGGATAAATGCGGCTGCCCCCTCGGCCCTGCACTTGACGACTGAACATTAGCAATAGGAATACCAGTGCCTACTCATGGCAACACAGATCAAGCAACACAGATCAAAGGTAAAGCACAGCAGTCCTTAGAAGTAGTAGAAATACCCATGCAATAACCAGCTGAAAGCATTGCATGAAAGCTAGGCTGGGGACATGCCCCAATCTCCTTGCCCCTGTCGCACGTCGGCCGTTGTTCCGCCAGCCTGAATTGCGAAGATCTCGGAGGGCGCGCTGACCAAGAAGTTGCGCAGCAGAGCAGATTTTAGGTTTGGAGTCCTTGCCTTTCCCTAGGGCTCCAGTTACCTAAATAGTGGGTTTCTAACCATATATTATGTACCCCAGTAACCTACTATTTAGGTATCTGGAGCCCTAGGGTTTGTTACGAACCCCAGTTCCCCAAACACCATGTCGCGCCATCAAGGCTGAAGCTTCTCTCGCTCAAGCCTGACAAACCACGAAGTGCTTCGATCCCCCGGCTTCAGGCCTGCACTACGCATTCAGATTGCATGTGATAAAACTCTCTCTCTCTCTCTCTCTCTCTCTTCTTCCACACAGCTAAAGAGCAATGCCTGCACCCCGAACACCCTAAACCTGTAAACCCCGAAACCAAAAACCCTCAGTGCGAAGCCGGGCTTGGAACGAAGGTGCCTGGCCAGGCAGACGCTGGGGATTGAGGGCTCGGTGTGAGAGTTCGGGAGGCTCGGCAAGACGCTCCTTGTGCGGAGGGTTCACCCATAGGCCCCTAAGTCGCTCCTTTTTATGGTTCATGTTTAGAATCCTGCCATCCCAAAAAGGAACTACTTAGGGGCCTATGGGTAGAGCTTATTGGTTTCGCGGTTTCCGGACCGACTCGGCAGTCAAAGCTCTGGGCTCAGCGGGTTTAAGGCTTCGTTGAGGAGGAGGGTTTAGGGTTTAGGGTTTAGGAGGGCTCGTTGAGGGCTCCGTGCTTCTTTCGGCCTCTGCCCTCGACATCTGGAAGTAGGTGAGGGTTTTATGCACGCTTGTGTAGTAAGTATACAGGCACTGTGAGGTACATGCTTCAACCTATCCAAATCAAACCCAAAGCCTCCTCAACTGCGAAATGCAGAAGGGCTTTGGTCTGACTCCGGCTGAAGGGCGACAGACCCCCGAAGCCGGCGACTACCCAGCAAGGACCGACTTCGAGCAGTTAGGCCGAACTATGCAACCGTGTGCCAGTTGCGGGAGCACCTCCGCAAAGCAAAGAAACATCAGTGCCGGGCCGGTTTAAGGGTGCGCCTTCGTAGCCTTTGCCCTTGCCCATGTCGTCTTTGCCCTTGCCCTTGCCATCTTTGCCCTTGCCCTTGTCCATGGGAGGTTCTGCGCACAAACAGGGCTGCAGGACCCTGAAAACTTGGGAGCGATGATGATGAGATGAAGCAGGAGGAGGAGGAGGAGGAGGAGGCGGGGAGCAGAACAGCGACTGTCGCAGAAAATGGTGATGATGCTGATGGGGCCTTGATGATCACGACCATGAAGAGGGAGAGCCGCCCCCCCCCACGGGACACCTTAGGGTTTAGGGTTTAGGGTCGTCCGAATCACGTAAGAGCTGCAGAACAACGTCCATTCAGATGGTGATGGAGCTCCAGAACCAGCAGTGCCTGCGAAAAGCTGTATAGATCCCCTTTATAAACCCACTTCAGAAGCCAAGCTACTATAGGGACCTAAATGATTGCCTCTACTGTTGTGATGCTTCCTTATATAACTCTAGTATACTATTCCCCAAAACCCTATTCTAATTATTAAGGCCTCTCTATCACAGTGAATGCCTCCTCCCGAGATCAGGCTCTGGTCCTGAAGCCCAAGTGCCCTCCGAACCGATGCCACAAAGACGAGAGAAAAAAAACACACAATTCAAAGCGCTCCTTCTGCTCTTCCACCCCACCAGTCGAAGAAGCCGGTTGTAGCCTTAGGCGTCTTTACTGAAATAAACGACGTCTGATTGAGGAATGAGGGATCAGGGTTTACGGCACTCACTCGCAGTTGTTAAGTGCCAGCTTGCTCGTCGAAGGGGCAGGTCGTATTCCGGATTCAGGACATTACAGATTCGACCCTGCACATACGGTATATCGAGCAACCCATTAAACCGTGGACCCAAAGTCGGGTCAATCACTGGAGGCGGAACATTCGGACTTAGATTGGATCTTGGACTTAACCCCAAATCAATAAACCCAAAATTGCTTTCAAGATGGCACGGACATGTTACGGGAGATCGTGTGCAAACACTTGGGTTCAAGGCTTCGGGCCTCGGGAAGCCCTAAACTCCGGCAGTAGCAGCATTTCAAAGCTCGGACCTTAAACGTGAACGAGTAAGGGTTTAGATGGGCTTAGGCTCTCGTGTTAGGGAGCTTTGGTTTGGGGTTAGTAGGGCCCAGGAAAACCCAAACCCCGTAATCCAGAAGACGAGATCTTGCCAGCAAGCTGCCCCTGCCGCACCGCCGCGGGACCTGTGCTTTGCCGCGGGCTGCAGTCCTAGCAGAGTATGAGGACGTGCAACCGTAGGCGCACCTGTGACTACATTGTCTAAACATTGCGGAAACAATCAGAAGAAAGGTCTCATGCACTTGAATACATGCGAGGCTCTGTTGAACGGATCGGATCAAAAACCTCAAACTTGACCCAAACCTTAAGCCCGAAACCCTAGAACCTTTTTTTCCCCTACACCCCCTAAAAACAGTCCAGAGCTGGAACTCAGGCTCTTTTAGTTTATGAGATTGCATGAGAACTCTTTCGGACAGGTCCCACATCAGTTGTTGCAATAAGCACAATTCCGATGGCCTTGATTATTTGACATGGCTTTTTCACGGAGATGCCATGCGCTAAACCGGAAATCCTGCACCCATGACACAGGCAAGGCCATGCGATTGGACTAGAGCTAAATGTCTTTCAGAGCCTGCTTTGGGTGGTCCAGGCTCTGCTCATTGGGGCTGTTGGAACAAAGTCAGCTTGTGTTCGTAATTCGTCCGCAATGACTGTGGGTGGTGACCACGGTATTAGTCTGATCTTCTGCTTCTTCTCACTGACTATCAGACTATCACCTTAAAGATATGATGATAGCGCACACTTGTGATAATTCCAGCATCGCTCGCCCTATTGCAGGAGCTGACCCAATACATCATACTGTACGGTACTTTATAGTACTACCTTAAAAGCCTAAACCCTGAACCCTAAACCCTAAAGACCTTATCAAAATCTTATCGTGTCTACCTTTAAACTTTTGTACTGTAGTGATACTGTACTGTACTGCATTACCTTAGACTCTAAACCCTCAAGACCTTATCTTATCGTGTCTTTCCCTTCGGCATTACTTTAAACCCTCAACCCTGAACCCTAAACCCCCAAGACCTTATCTTATCGTGTCTTACCCTTAAACTCTTACATAACCAAACCCAACCCCCCCCCCCCCCCCCCCCAGGTACCTACTATATAGGGTACTGGAGCCCCTAGGGCCCTACATAGTAGGTACCCGGGCGGTTAGGGAAATAGTATATACTTGGGCCCCAAAGTACCCACATAGGGACTACTTTAAGGCCAAAGTTTGTCTATTTGGATACATGGACCCTTAGGGTCTGTACATAACCAAAGCTCCCTTAAACTCTAAACCCTAAAGACCTTATCTTATCGTGTCTTACCTTTAAACTTTGTACATAACCAAAGCTCAAAGGCTCCTCCAGTGGCATCTGGAGGCGGTCGGATCTTCGTGATCGGGACCTCTGCCGGAAGGGCTACACTGGATGCTAGGGTTTAGGAAGGTAGGGTTTAGGGTTTAGGATTTAGGATGGTAGGGTTTAGGGTTGAGGGTTAAGGGTTTAGGGTTTGGGGTTTAGGCTTTAGGGTTTAGGGTTTCGGGTTTAGGGTTTTTCCGGGCGGGATTTCGGCATGTTTCGCTCAGTTCCTCAACCGCTTCCGGAAAGGTACGCCCGAGTTGTTGTGAGATGGCTTAAAGAGTTCTTACGGGATTTGACAACGGATTCATGAGGCTTGCTGGTGGTTTTCTCAGACCCGGCCGACAGCAGCAACATGTGATGCTCAATGTATTGAACGAATTAACCATAGACCAGCATGAATAGTAATCGAAATAATGGCAATAACAATGAACAGAACCTCCCTAAAGCCTAAACCCTAAACCCTCCGCCGATACCCTTTGTAAGTGCCCTGCTGCCATCTTGCAGTCGAGATCGAACGTCCCAGGCTCTGATGCCTTCTGCAGCAGCCTGACCCATCGGGGCTTACAGCAAGAACTGTTACTATTAATTTGTCACTAATACTACTATCATTACTATCATTCGCACTGCTACTGTTATGATGATGATTATTATTATTACGATTACGATTACGAATCATTATGGCTATTGTC